TATAATGTATTACGAAATGAAAATATAACACTTGCCCAGGGTGAAGATGCGATAGAATATACTTATATCAAGTTTGATGGAACACTGTTCTGGGACTCAATGACAATATTTCAATGCGAATTCTTCGGGCGTCAGAGTAATTTAAATTACATGCTTGATACTCTAGAGATCCCTTCTAAGATCAGGTTGAGTTACAAACATATAGATGAGATTGTACTGCTTGCTATTAAAACGGCCAAGATTCAAGATGAAATAACCAAATTAAATGTTGATTCGATGAATTACCATAACAAGATTGAAGAACTTAATTCAAGACAAGATAAAGTTATCAATAACTTACATGGAGAAGAGGGGGTTGAAAAGCTTTGTATAGATATCCTTGAATACTGTTTCTATGATTCATGGGCAGTCCTATTGAGTATAATTAAGATGCAAAAACTGGTTTCATATCGATTAGATGCGATGATTTATAACTGTAAATACATGCAACCATTCTGTGGTGGTAAAACAAGCATGTTGAATTGTCTTATAGCTAAGGAGTATAATAAGGAACATAATTACAAGCCAGTATCGTATGGTATCAAAGATAAGAAGAAATTTTAAGGTGTGGAGGTAATCGACCCAGAAACTGGGTATTACATAGATCTTATTTATGTACTCGATTTTGCAAGTTTGTACCTGTCGATAATGCGTGAATACAATATGGGACCCGATACGCTTAGGTATAAAAAGCCCAATGAGAAGCATCGAGTGGTACATCTTATAGACAATAATGTGGGAACGAATCAGGATATATACTTTATCCATGAGGATACCCAAGAAAGCATCATACGAAACATTCTCACGGATCTGATAAAAAAGAGAAAAGAAGCCAAAAAAGAGCGTGACAAGTATATTGGGATTAATGATATAATGTATAATATACTTAAACAGAAGCAACTTGCGTATAAAGCATTGGCAAATGCATTATACAGAGGCCTAGGTTCACCATATCTCGGTATTGCTGTACCAGTGATATCACAGTGTGTGACCTTTGTTGCTCGGGAACTGATAAAAACTTTAAAAAAATTTATAGAATTATATCACACCGGGGAATATAGAGATGACCAGAATGTGATCTGTGACAAAACCAGTGAGGTAATCTATGGAGACACAGATTCTTGCCTAGCATGATTACCAAAGTATATCTTATGTTGTATACTTGAAAAGTACTACAGCCATTTAAAATACATCGAGTTAAATAATGGTTTGGTAAAGGAATATGAAGAACTTATATTCAAGATGTACAATGAGCTTACCAAAGAGGGAAGCATATTTGGTAAAAAAGTATGTGATGCATTCAACGTGTTTAACCGTGATTGTGGAATTAAAATAGTTACATTGGAATATGAAAAACTTTTATTTGATTTGACGCTAAATAACAAGAAATGCTATGCAGGTTATAAATTTGAATTGCAAAACAATGGAGAACCTTCAGATTACTTTTTTTCATAAATATTTTCTGGTGCTAAAGATTATATTTCAAGAAATGCAAAGCTCTTTAACAAACGGCTCATATTTGATGAAATGGTAAACGCATTTCTAACCAAAAGTGATAAGTTTAAAAAGTATGCGGTTATGAAACGGTTTTCCAATATTCATGTTAGGGGCCTGCCTATAGTTTGACGTGATGCAAATAACTCCTCTAAGGTTATGCAACAGATGACATGTTCAAAACTTTTTGATTATAAAGAGAAAACGAAATTTATTCTAAACAAAAAATTTAACAACTTTGATGAGTTCTTTGAGTTCTTCGTAAATAGTCACCGTGATAAGAATAATTGGTTATTAACATGTCTAGAAGATGCAAGTAAAAAAGTTATAAAGTTATTAACCCAAAGGCTTGAACCCCAGGATCTCTATATAATTGAAAATAGTATACGGTTTAACCCTCGTGAGATTTTAACTTCGACTATAATCGAAAAGATGAAACATGATATATTCAAAAATGGTAATTATAATATTGTTAATGGTAAATTAATACTATACGAGAATATGAATATGAGCAAGCGACACCACTTTGCGAATGAGATTAATTGGAACAAAAAAACATCATTTGAATTAGTCGATGGGGATTTTTATTTTAAGAATCTGAGATTAAAATATAAGGGATGAGCCGAAAGAAAGGGGAACCCCAGTGTTATAACAATGATCAATCGGTTACAACAAGAGAATAAAAGGGTACCAAGTGGACGTGTTAATACTATTGTTAAATATTTACCAGGTTCACGAGCAGTTGGCAAGAGAATAATACTATCAGAAGAGTATGGTCCTGAAAAGGATAAAATCGACACTATATATTATATCAAAAAATTCAATTCATTTATTGGATCATGTCTAAATATTAAGAAAAAGGAAGCGTGGGGCCTCGTTAATAGATGGTATAATGAAGTTGTTAAATCTCCACAGATCTAGCGAACACAGAATACTGATAACGAAGAAAATGATTTCACTGATGAGTCATCAAGAGAAACTAATAAACAATACAAATGAACAAAGACCAAATATGATAGTATAGAAACTACTTCTACTCATTGAATAACTGATTTTTTTATTCGAAGATAATTTATTTATTTATTAATAAATAACTAATTTGATACAAGTCTATTGTAA